GGTGACATTGGCTAATAAGATTATATAGCTTTCAGTTGTACAATTCAGTAATACATCATCTATATATCACATTGTGTGTTCACCACCCAGAGTCAGTTCTCCTGGGTACATATATCTTTAGAAGTATATGTTTTCATAATTTTCAGGTAGATACCCAGAAGAGGAATTGCTGGGTCATATAGTAATTCTATTTGTAATTTTTCGAGAAACCTCCATACTGCTTTCCATAGTGGTGGTACCAGTTTACATTCCCACCAGCCTTGTACGAGGTATGATCAAACAATATGGTGAATGTTTAAATTTTAAAAAAATTATTACAATAAAAGACACATTGCCATTAATCCCCCTCAAAATACTTGCTCTCACTTCAAACACATTCATCTCATTGTTTTTGCCACTTTCTGAAGCAGTTCTGAAAGTCCTCTTTTGTAAGTGTCTTTAGTTGCGCTGTAATGGCTGCTTTGATGTCCTGCATCAATTCAAAACGTTCACCTTTCATGGACATTTTGACTTTGAGGAAGAGCGAGAAGTTGCACAATGCTAGATCTGGTGAATAAGGTGAATGAGGACACAGTGTAATGTTTTTATTTGACAGAAATTGCCATAGCAGAAGCGATGTGTGACGTGGAACATTGTCATGATGGAGGATGATTTATGGCACACTTTAAAACACACCTTCTTTCAACCATAGCTCACACCCAACTGATTGCACCAAACAAGGTGAAACTTGTCACTCACTGTTATTAAGGTTTGATGTGCCACTTCCCATACCAGAGGTCCCTGCCTTTCAATTAGATGGCGCTTAGCAGCAGCATTCACGGTATTTTATGATCACAATGGAAGAAAGGCTCCATGTCACACCTCGCTTCTGGTATGGCAATTTCTGTCAAATAAAAATATTACAGTGTGTTCTCATCCATCTTATTCACTGGATCTGGCACTGTGCGATTTCTAGCTCTTCCCCAAAGTCAAAATGACCATGAAAAGTCAACGTTTTATATCGATTCAGGACATAGAGGCAGCTATGACAGTGCAACTAAAGACACTCACAAAACAGGACTTCCAGAACTGCTTCAGAAAGTGGCAAAAATGATGACATAAGTGTGTTTGACATGAGGGGGTTTATTTTGAAGGGGTATTAATGGCAATGTGTATTTTACTGTAATAATTTTTTTAAATTTGAACATTCACCGTAGTTTTTAATCACACTGTATTTAAGGGTTCCTTTTTCTTCACAGCCTCTCCAACACTTGTTATTATTAATTGTCTTGTTGATAATAGCCATTCTAACAGTGTGAGGTGGTATTTCATTGTGGTTTTGATTTGCATTTCCCTTATAGCTAGTGAAGTTGAGCATCTTATCATATATCTGTTGGCCATTTGTATGCCTTCTTGGGAGAAGTGTCTACTCAGGTCCTCTGCTCATTTTTTAATTGGATTGTTTAGGTTTTTTTGTTGTTGAGTTGTATGAGTTCTTTATATATTCTGGATATCAACCCCTGATAGGAGGTGTTGTTTGCAAATACCTTCTTCCATACTGTTGGATGCCTTTTTGTTTTGTTGGTAGTTTCTTTTGCTGTGCAGAAGCTTTTAAGATTGATATAGTCCCATTCACTTATTTTTGCTTTCACTTCCATTGCCTTTGAAGTCAAATTCATAAAATCTTCTCTGAATCCAAGGTCCATAAATTTTGATACCTATGTTTCCTTCTATGTATTTTATTGTTTCAGGCCTTACATTTAGGACTTTGATGCATTTTGTGTTAATTTTTGTGTATGGTGACAAATATCAGTCTCGTTTCTTTCTTTCTTTTTTTTTTTCTATTTGCATGTGGCTCTCCAATTTTTTCACCATTTATTAAAGAGGGTTTCTTTTCTCCATTGTATATTTTTGGCTCCTTTGTCAAAATTATTTGACATATATGTATGTGGATTTATTTCTGGATTCTCAATTCTGTTTTGTTGGTCTGTGTGTCTGTTTTCCTGCCAATACCATGCTGTTTTGATTATTGTTGCTTTGAAGTATAATCTGAAGTCAAGGAATATGATATCTCTGGCTTTGTTCTTTTTTCTCAGGATTGCTTTGGCTATTTGGGGTCTTTTGTGATTCTATACAAATGTGATGATTTTTTTGTTCTATTTCTTTAAAAAATGCATTGGGATTTTGATGGGGATTGCATTAAATCTTTATATAATTCATTTAATCTTCATAAAGCCCTATTATTATTAGTGGTATCACTCTCATCATCAAAAGAAGCACTATGAATACCAGAACTCCATACATTTTCATACATGTCAACTGTTTCAGATTTCCTTAAAATTTGAGGAAGTTTGGAGTTGAGAGCTCATCTTTGCCTAGGAACTTATACATCTGATCCAAAAGAATCTGGGGAATTGTTGGGAAATCCATACAATATAACACCTGAATTACATCTACTGCTGCAATTTCAACTGAATTTGACAGAGCAGATATACACTAAATTCAACATCCTGCAAATACTTCTGAGAACTCAGCTATCCAAAACCAGAATTTTTAGAAGTTGAAGACACTATACTTTGGTTTTATTTTCATTTTTGTTAACCTGGCTTATGTTTTATCATGGCTACTCAAAATGAGATATTCAGTGGCCTTTTAATTTCAATATGTATGTGCTTTGTATCCACAATGATCCCTATAGGGCTCACAATAGACATACAATATATATGGTTTGAAGTTCATTAATAACTTCCCATGAATAAGTAACACTATGGTATTTGTTTGTACTGTTCCTCTTTCACTTTTTTATTTTTCATATTAAAATAAGTGAGGGAAGGAAAACTTTTTCTTTGTGTTCTGGTATTGTTACTGTTGTCTTTGTATGTAGGCCCTGGAACTGCTACCAGTGATCTTCATCCCTAAGTTTAATTTTGAGACTTTTATCTCTTTACCAAAAACCAACATTTTATCCAGAATTACACAGAAATTGGTAATAAATTTCCTTCATTAATTCTTACTTACTTAAACTTGAAGGTTAGAATTTAGCAAACTTTGTCAGGAAATATCTGTGCTAGCATGTGTAATGGTAAGTCAGAAACTGAAAGAAGAAAGTAATCTTCAAATTATTGAAAGGTAAATTCCTTTCCTCTCAAGTTCCCACTTGAGTACTTTGGTAACTTTGATCTAGGTAAAGTAACCCTAAATAACTTCTAGGTACTCACATTTCTTCATAGGCTTAGTGATGCCTTGGAACCAATAACCTGGCATCCTAGTCCAAGGAAGGTATTAAAATAAACCCTAAAGAGGAATAAAGAATAATAGGCAAATGGAAGAAAGTATAAGAAAGAGTGCTAGAGAGCTCCCTCTCTGCTGCAGCCAGTAGCCCTCAAATTTTATTACTGCCTCTTTGATTAAATTACAGTAAGTATTGAGTACTTATTTAACACTTTGTCTATCCTGGCAAGAGTAAAACACATTCCATTTAGAAGAACAACTATGCAAAAGCTTCTGCTGATGCTGCAGTTACTATTTGGAATAAAGAGCAGAGTAATCAAATAGATGGAGGTGATTTGTCAGAGAATGAAGAAGAAAATATTACTAGGTGTAGTGCTTCTATCCTAACAAACCGCTTTCATAATCTTGCTTTAGCATAGACCACCAATCAAGGCAAATGGAAATAGTCCGGTATAATGCTAAAAGATTTTAAGTGAATAAATTCAATGCTGCATTCAAAAATTAATAATAGCTAGCATTTGTCAAGTACTTCCTAATTCCCTTGGAAACCTTGAATGATAGGATAAAAATTATCCCCATTTTACAGTTAAGGAAACAGAGGCTTAGAAATGCTATGCGATTGACCTCAGGTCATACACGTACCAAATGCTATAGAGCCAGGGCTCTGAAAACAGGCCTAAGCCCCTGCTCTTTCCACTATATCATGCTTCCTGAGTTTACCTCTAGAACAATCATGGAGAAAGTTGACATTACTTGGTCCTTGATGGATAAAGTTTGGGCTTCTCACCTCCACAGTCCTTCCTCCCCACAGCCCCATTTTCAGTCTATACTGCAAAAAAGCAGGTTAATCTTCTTAAAGCACTGTTCGACTAAGCACCTGCCCTCCCTAAAAAATACAAAAATAAATAATTATGTTCGGTATCAACAATTGATTGAAGTCCAAGTTATTTAGCTTGGAGTTAGTGGCTTTTCATGACTTAGTTTCAGTCAGCTGTATTTGCAATTGATCCCATACATGGCTTGACACTTCACACAACTTGTACTTATCATTTCCTAAACATGCATTTTGCTCTCTTTGTTCTGATTACTTGCTTGTGCCATTTATTTTACCAGGATTGCCTTTCTTTCTTCCACCTCCGTTTCCACCTATTAAAAGCCTTTTTATTTTTAAACATCCAACTCAGATACTATCTAATCATATTATCTTCTCTGATTAGTTTGGCACAAAAGACCTCCTCCATACTGATAGCATTTAGGTTCTGCCACTTACATGTCACCGAAAGCATGTGAATGTAATGAGGTTTTTGGTATATGTTCCTCATTTGCCCACAAAATTGTAGGCTCTGTGAAAGCAGGAAATGTATCTCATACATGTTTACATTCTTCATGTCCTCTAGTACAGTCCCATGCATAGAGGAGACTCTCACTAAAAACTGAATAAATGAAAGAATGAATAAATGAAACTGAGTTTTAGTCAGCGACAATTACAACTTCAAATATAGTAAGAGCCTCTTTGAAAAAAGAGACTGAACTCAAAAAGCACTTGTAACTTTTTACTTCTCTGTGGTTATTAATGTAAACATTATCTTTTATGTTAAGTCATAGGCTTGAGTAAAATATGGATGTAGACATGAGAAATTAAACTTAAACATACAATTTTTGCCTTGTTTTAAACAATCTTTCATTTATTCATTCAAAAAAACGTTTATGGAATGCCCTTTATGCACAAGATTTGGCAAAGTACTGAAGAAACAGGGGTGAGCAAGACAGACAAGGCCATTGCCTTCAGGGAGCTTAAATTCTAGTTGAAAAGAGAGGCAATCAAGTAAAGAAATATATAGAATCAGAAGCTTTATTATAGAAATTAATATGATAATAAAAGAGAGAGCAATGAGATAGAATACTTCAGATTGGCTGGTCGGGGCAGGCTTGAAGAGGTAACAGCAAATTTTATTTTACTTTTATGTATTTATTTATTTATTTATTTATTTATTTATTTATTTTCTAAGAACAACACATGGTAGTGCATGTTTATTCTATGTCTGGTCACAGCACATCTCACAGACCCAGACGGCAGCCATGCTGAGAATGCCACGTGGCTGTAAGCAGCTGGAGGAAATGGAAGACCATCTAGTCTGTGGCACACGGCCACTTTGGGCGGAAAACACAGCTGTCTCACTGGCACTGAGGCCACATTCCCAACTCCAGGCCTCAGGGATGTCTCTAAAAGGTGATTCCTGTTTGGAACTTCCAAAATCCTGGGCACCTGTGGGAGTCACGCCCTGGTTCCAACAAGTCCGTCTGAGTCCAGGCTCTACCACAGACTGAAGAATTGAGCTGGTGTCAAGGCAGCTCGGGGGCTGACAAGGAGCCTCAGGCTGGGCTACGGAGCAGGCCTGGGCGCCTTGGGGCTCTGATCCTTTCTGTGGAGCTTGTGTCCCACCCGTGACCCCCGCTGAGCAGCTTTCACCAGGCCTTTGAACTGTCCCTGCAGCTCCATCTTCTTCCTGCGGTTGAGCTTGGCTCTGTTCAGGGGGATGTAGGCAGAGGGGTCAAGCTGACCTTCCTTCTCCACATCACCCTTTGCTTTCTTGGCCTTGTGTTTGGCCCCAGGTGTAGCCTTCTTGGCCACAAGATGATGGATGCCAGAGCCTCCAGCCTGGTACTAGGGGCATCTCCAGCTCCTCATCGTCAGGCTCTTTCTGACGTTTGAGCTTCTGGGGGTTTTTGCCCCTGATGCCCAAGTCTTCCATCAGGTCAGCCATCTCTTCATCCTCCCTTTTAATGCCTTCCTCTTCCTCCATCTTGGTGGTGGCAGCATCCTCCTCCTCCTCCCGGATGATCAGCCGGCCATCGGCACTCACTTTGAAGCTATGGTCCTTCTTCTTGCCGCGGCCAGGCCCAGGCTGATGGCTAACACTCACTGGGCCACCTTGGGATCCAGAAAGTTGAGAGGCTCATCCCCACCACCCTCCTTCAGCCATGCCCGGCTCCTCTGCTGAGTCAGCCTCTGCTGCTCCGTGCCACGGCTCCTTTCTTCCTCCTCATTGTCCTCGTCCTCCAAGTCTGCCAAAATCTTCTCGATGCTGTCACCTTTACCCTGGGCAGGCTCCTCCTCCTCCTCTTCCTCGGCAGCCTGATTCAGACGACGGTGCCTCTTGGCGCGGGCCTTGGCTTTCCGGATGTGGACCAGGACTTTGTGGTACCCCTCAGGCAGCAGCCTCTTCACCAGGCCAAACCCAAACATGCGGAGGAACTTGGTGAACAGGTTCTGAAGCTTCATAAGGAAGTGCCGCTGCACATTTTCTGAAAGCTTCCCGATGGCTTCCATCACCAGCTGCACACTGCACATGGTTGGCCAGGAGTGCCAAGTCCATGACAACCACTGCCACCTTGATGAAGCCCAGCACTGATGTGGCCACATCCCGCATGTGGGAGGTCAGGAGCAGGCACGTGTTTTCCAGCAGCTGCTCTACTGTGCTGATCCCCATCAGACCTTTGACCTCGAAAAGGAGGTGGGCCAGGGCCAGGATGCTGCCGCTGACCACGGTGACAGTGCCCACAAGGTCGGGGTAAATCAGGACGAGGGAGCGCTGCAGGGCCTCTTCCTGGCTCGGGCCAAACCGAAGGAAAGCATGGCCCATCTCCACCAGCAGGGTGAAGGCATTCTTCCGAGTACCCACCGACACCTCCTTGGTACACAGGATCACCTCCGGAACGAGGGCAGTGATGAACTTCTCATGCTCGGCTGTGAGCTTCTTCACAATATGGATGAGGCACTTCAAACGGGGCATCTTGGCAGGTGAGGAGGTGGTCTGCAGTGAGTCCAGCAGGGTCTTCTTGAGATCGTTCAGGTGGCTCTGAACGAAGCAGGCCCCGGGGCCCTGGGGACTGGTACATACCTCCTGCAGCATGCAGTCGGCCTTCTTCTGTACCCCATGGGCCTTGCTCTCTAGGTAGGGCCGAATGGTGGAGTACAGCTTGCTGATGGCAGCTTCGTCAGCATGGGGAGCCAAGGCCACAACCAGGTCCGGGACAGATAATCTGGTGAAGTCGGAGCTAGCAGGGTTGAGCCCCTTCTCACTCGCTTTTTCCAGGAAACCATTCACCAACTGAGGCTCAGTAATGGTGAGGTAAGTTTTCATGGTTTCCAACACAGCCCGGTGAGGGGCTGGGGTGTCCCCCGCTGCAACAGGCTGCCCATACAGGTTGAAAAGGATGGGCAGGAAGTTCTTGGCAAAGCAGCTCACTTCAGGTCAGCCTCTGCTTCACAGCCCTTGGTAATGAGGGTGCACAGGGCCTGGCACACAGTGACCCTCAGGTCTGGGCACTCACTGATGGCTGTGCCCAGCATCCATGCCAACCCTTTGAAGGAGGTGGCCACGTCTGTCGGCCTCGTGCAGGACCCAGGCAGGAGGGTCCAGATCCGCCATGCAGCGTGTCATAGATTTTGGACTCCACTGTGCTGCCCACCTGGGCCAGGTCCATTGCTTCGCTCTTCAGGGTGGTAGCCAGGAACAAGAAGTAGGCGGTGAAGAAACCAAGTCGTGTTTCCCGCACATGGTCCCGGATGACGGGCAGCAGCCAGCTCCGTGGGAAATCCAGAGTCTCTTCAGAGCCGTCAATTTCCGGAGGCACAGCCTGTAAAACCACCTCAAGTCCCATGCTGGCCACCGCAGCCCCCACTGCCCGGTCCGGAGCTGCTGTGTGGGGGAAGTGGGGGCAGGGGCGCAGGTCACACAGGGACTGGAGGCACTTTTTCATCACAGGATGGGCCTGCCTCCCACATGCCTCGACGAAGACACACAGCAGCTGCAACACGGAGCTCCAAGCCACATGGACTTTGTAGTCAGACCCTCTTCCACTACCCTGAACATCTTGGCAACATACTGGCCAAGGCCTGAGGCTGAGGAGGTCACGGAGCCAATGTCGGCCATGTGAGGAGCGACACACTTCTTCAGATTCTCCTGGAGACTCTGGGTAGCAGCTGTCACCACCTGTGAGTGGGGGGAGAGGAGGCAGGTCATCGCAGTTCCAAAAAAGCGAGGGACATGGCCCAGCCCCAGGTCCCGCTGTAGCCTGACCAGGTTGATGTGGGCTTTTTCCATGACCTTAAGCCAGTCCAGCAGGGGTTGTAAGTCATTCTCACTGGGAAAATAGTCATACAAGCCCGTGATGATCTGAGCATTGAGCTCCGCAGGCAGGGTACCCGGGCCTCGCTTGGCATGGAAGAAGCTATGACAGGCCTGCATGGCACAGGCTGTCACCAGCACATGGCTCAAGGTCATGACCCTGAGGAGAGTCTCACTGCAGCTTTTCCCCATGCCTTCCGGGAAACAGGGCAGCAGGTCCTTCAGCAGTGTCAGCATGTGCAGCACGGTGGTGGCCTCCTTGGAGCCTCCAGACTTCTCTATCTCCTGGATGCAGAATTTGGCGGTGGAAATGGCAGCAGGGTGATGGGCAGGGGCCTTCTCACCAAACGTGAATTCACTGTCCTTTAGGACTGAGCACACTCCGTGCTGGGCAGCCTTCCGGATCTTGGGTTTGGAGTGCACAGTGAAGCTCAGCAGCCCATGGTACACCTGCAAGGTCACAGGGTAGCCCCAGGCATCCAGGTCCTAGCTTCTGCAAAAGGGTGTCCAGGCACGAGAGGACCCACCGGAGGGCAGAGGTGAAGCCACTGCTTGCCTGGGCTGACATGATTTCCATGAAGGCTTTGGAAGTATCGGAGAACTTAATGAGCACAGGGCTGGACACTCGCTTCAGGACAAGGTTCAGCAGGTAAGCAACCGCAGCCAGAGACTCCGGAGATTCCACCACTTCCATCGTCATCATCAGTGCTGCAAAGCTCTCAGTCTCCGTCTCCTTTCCTCCCTGGGAGCGAATCATCTCAGTGACAGCAGCCAGAACAGCACAGATCTCCTTGTGGGCAGCAGAGTTGGACGCCCAGAAGCGCTGCACTTTGCGGAAGGTGACATGAGTGCAGTCGGAGGGGCAGCTCAGGAAGGTGGCGGAGGACTTCTCGGTGAGAGCTGCCGCCTCTTCTTCCATGGCTGTCTCAGGGGCTTCGCTTCTGCCCAGGTGCAGGGATCCTGACTGCAACTCATTATGCAACTTTACAGCATCAACTGTCAGGTCGCTCTTTCCACCTGAGGGCGGGCTGAAAAAGTGGCTGCAGGTGGCCTGGCGGTGGCGGCAGATGGCAGGGTTGCTGTCGCTGCTTTGGCCTTCCTTCCAGCATTTCAACTTAGCGGAGACACCAGAGGGCAACTTCCTGGAGCGACCCATGCCTACTAAACTTGAAAGACCGGCTTCCAGGGACTCAGAAAAACACGCAGAACCCCAACAGCAAATTTTAAATGAGCAAGCCTTGCATACAGCTGTGCAGAAAACACTCCTGGTGAAAACAGTACGTGCAAAGTCTCTTGGGAGTTGAGGAACTAAAGATTTGGTGAGGGTGGAGGACAATGAGTAAAGGTGAGAGTGGTATGAGATGAGATTTGGAGAAGGCAGAAGGCAAATCTTGCAGTGTTTTTTATGTTCAGAAGAATTTAAGATCATTATTCAAGGAGCAACCAAAGCTACTAAATAGTTAAAACAAAGGTGTCACATAATCAAATTTATGGTTTGGGAAGTTCATTCTTACTACTAAATGGAAAAACAGATTGAAACAGAATTGATGGTTTGCAGTAGTGGGGTGGCACTGAAGATGGAGAAGTGAATAAGTTTGAGAGACATTTTAGATGGCAGAACTGAATGGACTTGATATAGTAGATATAAAAGTTAAAAGACCAAGACAAATCAAGGCTGGGCCGGCCGAGTGGCTCAGTTGGTTAAGAGGTCGCTCGAGAGTGCGAGCTCTGAGCAACAGCGGTTAGAGTCCCGCCGGAGCTGAGCTGCCAACAGGTGGCAGGATGGCTCAGCTTAAAAAAAAAAAAAGTAGAGTAAAGACAAATCAAAACTGACTCCTAAGTTTTGGCTACAAAGTGATACCATTTTCTAAGATGGTGACATCTGCCAAGGACCAACTTTGAAGACAAAAATCATTGTTTTGATTTTGGGGGAAGACACAGAACACTGTTCTGAACACAGCAACTTTGAGATCTCTTTTAGACATCCAATTCTAATAACCAACATCCCAAAAATGTTAACATAACACTGAACACTTACATTTTATCAACTGTGTACTTACTTTTTCTTTGGCCAGTATAGCAGATTATATTTCCCAAAGAGGGAGAGTGTCAGCAACACCTCCCCTTCCCACATCCTATTGTCCAGTGTGACCTTGCCACTCCCCTATTAAGAGGTAAAGTCTAATTCTCCTCTCCTTGAATCTGAAAGTGTTTAGGATTGCTTTGACCAGTGGAACACAATGGAAGTGAGACTGTGTATCTTCCAAGTCTGAATCATAAAGGATGGTGTAGCTATCAGTTTGTTTGCTGGTACAGTCATGCTTGGAGCCTTGAACTGGCATGTAAGAAATTCAGTTGTCCTAAAGCTGCCATGCTTGGCTCCAAGACAAGCCACTTGGAAGAGCCACATGGAGAAGCCACCTGTAGGCAGTCCAGGTAGCAGTCCTACTCTCCAGGTCTTCCCAACTCAGATGCCAGACATGAGTGAAGGGGCCTCTAGATGATTGCATCCCAGCCATCAAATCACCCCAGACTGCAAACCTTCTCAGTTGAGATCCTAGATACTGTGGAGCAGAGACAAGCCATCTTGTTGTGCCCTGTCCTGACCCACAGACTCCATGAGCATAATAATATGATTATCGTAAGCGTCTAAATGTTGAGGTAGTTCATTAAGCAGCAATTGTAACCAGATCAGCCAGTTAATCAAACATCCCGGAAATACATACATTTAAGCTATGATCGTACCAATATGCTTTCTGTACAGTTCAATGCTACATTCTAAAGGAGCATGCAATACCCAAACAATATTCTTAAACTAAACACCATTTTACTTACTCAAGTGAAGGTTGAATAATATTACTGTGGGTCAGACAAGGAATGTGAAGTACAGAAATAAATTTGGCACTTAATTCTTCTTGGTAAAATTAAGTTTGAGAGTAAGGCATACATATTCAAGTGTGATAAAAGCTAGCAAATGAAGCCACATTTTAAAGCCCTGATGCACATTTCAAATCTTGTGAATTCCCTTACTTTCTATAAGCACTTTTCCTGCAGATATTACTAAGTTCACATGAGTGGAGCTACAAATAGAATAGATTACTTATGAATAAAATTCTTAGGCATGACAGGTGGTTAGGGAATTGAAAGACAAAGTTGTTTTGTTTTCAGAAATAATCCTCTGTATTTTTTATTTTCTTACCACTAAATATTTTCTTTCAAGAAGTGTGAATTATGAGAATTTGGCCTTGGATGTTAGGATACTTCTCTAAAAATAATAATTTGATTTGAAAACTATGTTAACACAATGTACTAAATTTTGAAAGGCAACTATTTTCCTAGGAATTGGTACCTGCTATCTTATGAGTGAATAAAGTCAATTTGTTTTGCCTCTACAACAATGAGAAATATTTGGTGATTAATCACTTCTTCATATGAGTGACTTAAGCAAGTGCTAACAATAAATTACATCCCAGGGCTGGCCGAGTGGCGCGTTGGTTAAGAACTGGCTTGGGACGCCAGAGGACTCCGGTTCGGATCCCACATTGAGGGCCAGTGACACTGCCCTCTATAGCTAAGATGCTGAACAACAGCTCAACCTGGAGCTGGCTGCAGTGAGTCACTGGAGACGGTGTAGGCTGCAGCCCCTGTGGCAGTGGGTTGCCATGGGCTACCGTGTGTAGCCAGCAGCCAGCGTGAGCGGCCAGCAGCCTCTGTGAGCGGCCGCCCAGAAGCCGGCGACTGATCTGCCTGGCCCGGGAAGAGCGCAATGATGGTGCCAACTTGGGCCAGTGTCGCAACGTCCTCCACAACTACACTGCAGAACAAAAAAGGACAGCAACTTGTCTGTTCCCCTTCCCCCGATTCCCCAGTGCTGTTCCCATCCCCCAGTTCCCCAATTAAAAACAAAAAAAGATTTCCTTCTTTAAAAAATAAATAAATAAATAAATAAATAAATAAATAAATAAATAAATAAATTACATCCCAAGAGACAGCAGTAATTTTAGCTACTGCCTCCTGGCTCTGACAATGCTGGTCTTTGATCATATTTTACTCTGCAGGAGCCAATATGTCTTGATTACCCTTGCAGATCCATAATAAATACAAAATTTTTAGTCTTTTATGGACAAAATAAACTGAACTCAAGGCCCTTGACTCTACTTCTGCCTTTACTATTATGTGTATGGATAATACTAATATTGGGACTCTAATTGGAGTGTTAAAATTCTGGAAGCTGCTAAAAGCAGTAACTACATGTGCTTAAATTTTATTTTTTTCATTTCTTTCCAAAGAAATAAACTAACACACTCAGTATTTAGAGCCCTAGAATGTTTTGGCTGTCATATGGAAATTTTTATTTTGGTACTTATGGGGTCATGTTATTTTTTTAAATGTTGTAATAACTTCAAAACAAATATTTTTTGTTTTCTGAAGAGTTTGAATTTAGGGACTGGTTATATTTCATGAATGTTTACTCAATAAAAAATAGGATAAGAAATTAATTTAAGTCAGGAGTCACCAAACTTTTCCTGTAAAAAGTCAGATAGTAAATGTTTTTGGTTGTCTCGACTACTCAACTTTTGCCATTGTTGTGAGAAAGCAGCTGTAGGCAATATGCAAATAAATGGGTGTGGCCAATCCCTGGTTGAAACTAAAGGCAGACTACATTAATAAAATATAATGGAATGTAATTGTGTTTATTTATGAAAAAAATTACCTTTTATGTCTTCTTAGTATGTCTTTGTACCTCTTGTTTTGTTTTATTGCAGACTATACTGTGCCTCCTCACTCTTCCCCAACCGCCCCTATTGCATCAGACTGAGATCAGTCAATTATATTACAGCAGTGATTGGAATGCTACAAAACTACTCTGGGATACCACTACAGAAAGAAACAGACCAAAAGACTGTATCTAGTATGTTAGAGTTGGAGGGAGGTGTGAAAATCCTATTTCAGAATATTTAGCAAAGCATTCTGTTACCTTGTATTGATGCACCTAAATTACGACTGAGGGCTGAAGCAGCTGATGGTGGGTACACTCCTGAGAGGCACTAATATCACACACAATGGACACTTCCACTTCACTTAAGTTAGACAACCTGACAAAAATGGCATGACAAAAATAAAGCCCATAACCATTCTCATTATTCAGTAAAAGTGAAGGAAAACAGTATATTAAAAAGTTAACTTTATAAAGTATTTAATGGCCTGCCTACTCCCATGGCCAAATGATGCATCTGATGTGACCAACCTGGCCTGAAATACTTTCTTCCCAGTTGTGTTACTCATCCCTTTCTAAAAAGTTGTCACCCTTCTTTCTGTGTAATTATGATATCTATCTAGTTCCCTGCACCTCTAGTCTCTGCCAAAGATCGTGGTATCAAATGCAATGCAACTGTCCTAGTCCTTGTAAGAGAACCTCCCTATGGAGATTACACTTTGTAACAGGATTGTGACAGAAAAGAGCATGAGCTGTGGAATCAGATCGCTCTGGGGTTGAAGTTTGGTTTTACTATTGATCTTTTGGGTAACCTCCATTATTATGATCATAGTGGATTGTCAGTGCTGCTGATGGTAGAGGTGAGGGAATTAACAGTTGTTCAATAGCTATGCAAAGACACAATTATAATACTAAAATAATTTTAAATAAACCTCTCAGTTCATCAAACATATTGAATGCCTCAATTATATTCTATCTTCAATTGGGTAAGCAAGAATATTATCTCTTCCAAATGATGTTGATTGAATTAAGGTAATAGCTTGGCATAGAAATAAGCACTGGAATAGTCTTCATTTTTAAATTTATCTCTTTATTTCCTATGGGACTGCAAGCCTTATGGTAACCCTATACCCAATTAGTAAATTGGAGTGGAAATATGGACAGAATGATAGAAGAAGAGAAACAGGTTTATATCCATACCTTTTTATTCCTTTATTAAACCCTGAGAACAGAATTAAATAATTCATGAGAGTAGGCATTATTCTTTCATATTGTATCATGTTATTTTTCCTTCATCCCTTAAATAGACTTAATAAAGTTACCCTAGAACACAAGTTAGACCTAGCGCCTATAATTATCTGTTATCACCTGCCATGCTTCTACTCTGTTTTGCAGTATTTGTTCATTCAGCAATTTATAGAATTTATTATGCATCAAACACTATGCTCAGTAGTGGGAATAAACAAGTTAACCAGACATGATACAGTCCCTGTCCTCACAGAGCTTGTGGTAGAGTTCCTACAGCAGATAAACATTAAATAAATACACAAGTAGGCAATTTATGAATTATAAATAAGATTAGACAATAGTC